GGAGAGCCCTCTGTGGGAGGTTAGAAAGAGAGAGATCAAGGACATTGCTTCTCTTACAGGTTGCCTGAAGTAGGCAACATTTCAGGAGGTGTTTGCATGACTAAGGATGAAGAGTTGTTGGGTGTGGGTGGACTGAGAGAATGGACAGTTCCTTGCTGTGAAGCAGTGAGCATCCTCATTCCGGAATCCTCTCTTTATGTCATCACAGTGGCAGTCCTTGTAGCAATAAAGATGAAAGAAAACATTGGGGTGGGTTAGGGGAATGGCATGAGGCTCCTTTCCCTTTATTGCTATTCTAAGAGTAAAGAATGGGAGAGACAGAATGACAGAGACCAGGCATCAGAGCTGAGCATGGTTCTGGAGTGGGTGAGTGGGTGGATAGTGTCCCTTGTCCTTTCTGGCTTGAACATTTTCCCTGAATGGTTTTCCTACCTGTGAATGACAAGTGCCAGTCACCCCATGAGATGTCTACCTGACAGACTCCCAGATTCAAGGTGCCATGCAGAGAGGCAAGAGAAGTGAATGGCTCTTGCTTTATCTAGGTACTTGGACCGAGAATAGTGTCACCAATAAGTTTACCTTTCCTTCTTTCTCGTTGTCTTGGCAACAGTCACTAACACCACAGGCAGTACTGCACTCTCCTGTATGTGTTTGAGAGGAAGACAGATGTTAAAACTTACCATATATCATCAATTCTAAGATTCACATTTTGCTGTCTCTAAAATTGAGCCGCTTCTTACATATAATTTTGTGTACTACGATATAGTTATTTATCATATGATATAGAGTAATAATATTAAAATTCATCTTATAATTTGTTGACATTTTGATGATTATAACAAATGAAATTCTGGAGCAATTTTTCATCTATATAAACTCAACGTCTTTTCAGAAGCCAGTTTTCCCAAATGCCACCAAAAGCTTTCCAAATTTGAATTGTATTCTTCTGAATCATTCTAACTCAGATCCAAGGCATTAATATTTGCAGTGGATGCCATGGCAACTTGCTGAGATCATTTTTTTCCAGTACTGAAGCACTGTACATGGTCCACAGCTCTCAGGCGAAGAGACTGTCTCCTTGTACTGGGTCAGGCCACATTTCAGGACTGGCTGATGTGGAGGTATAGAAGCTCGACACCCCTTTTCCCTATTTGGGATAAAGGAAAGGGGTGTTCAAGTCCAGAGCTTCTTGTAGAATTGGCTGACTCCTTAGTTACACTTGATTTTCAGTTCAGCTTCTCCTTTTGCCAATCACACTTCTTGTAGTTCATCTACACACAGAGCTCCATTTCAGAGCCTGTTTCTCAGAGAACTTAGCATGAAATAATGGGTACCAGAAGCAGTCCAAGAAACTCTAGCAGGGAAGTTTGGGCTTGCTGGTTGACCAGAAGTAGGATAAGGGTCTGGGTCACTATACCAATTAAACCACAATGATTTTGTCCCAGCTGCTGGGAATGTGGGCAGCCCTCAGCTCTCAGGAAGTCTTGCCCTCAGCTGGAGAGAGAGTCGCTTTGCCTCTTGAGGCCATACTGCCTGCAAGGATTAGTCCTCTCTCTTCAATTAGGGCCATCTCTAAGACACATAGTGAGCAATACTAAGTATTTTTTTTCTACTGGGGATTAAACCCAAGGCTTTCACACTGAGCTATATTCCCAGTCCTTTTTCACATTTTGAGACAGGGTCTTGCCAGCACTAAGTTGCCTAGATTGGGCTTGAACTTGCAACTTGTAATAGATTTGAAGTTATTTTACTTGTCTCTGCCACAGTCTCACATCTGAAAATGAGACTGATAATAATGTCATTGGCAGGTTGTGACTTTTAACTTTATAATGGATATTATCTAGACATGTAGATGTCTATGGTAGCTATTATTATTATTTGGTACCTTTTAGTTCTAAGGCACAAAATTACCTCATATCTTTTTCCAGTGAGGCCAGGTCTTTCTCTCCAGAGCTGAGTAAGACTGCTTAGTCCTCTCAGCAGTGAGTTCTCAGGAATATATGTTTTTAATCATTATTTTTTTAAAAGACTTCATTAAGAGAGTTAAATTTCAGCACACAGGATGAGAGAAAATATTTGTAATATTACATGTGGCAAAATCTCCCTCATATCAGCAATATAAAGAATTTTTAAGATTATTAAGAAAAAGGATAATTAATTTAATAGCTCAGTAGAAAAATGGGCAAGAGATATGAACAGAATATACTCACTGGAATGATTAAGATGGAAGACACCAAAGATTGGGAAGAACCAAGCACTATAGTACTGGCATTGATGTAAAGTAGTGTATTCATTTTGGAAAGCTGGCAGCCTCTACTTATGTTGCATCCCCAAACACACAGAAGTTCCACCCACCTTTACGCATATGCCAGAAGAAATGCTTACTTGTTTTTACCAAAAGATATTTAAGAATAATTATAGAAGCACTAGGTATAATACAAAAAAAAAACCAGGAAAAAATGTCAAATGGTCAAATATTCACCAACATTAACATGGATAAATACATTGTGGTATAATCACATAATACATATTGTATAGTAATGAAAATGGATAATTAACTATCTGAAACATTGAATCTTATAAGCTTAATAGTGAGAGAAGGAAGTCAATGTATGACATGAATACTATAGAATTTAATTTTTATAAAGTATCTGCACATCTGACAAAATTAACTTAGGCTGTTAGAAGTGAGATTCTAGCAAATTGGGAGCTAAATACTGACTTCTAAGTGCTAGGTGGGAATGTTCTATTTTTTGATGTGGGTATTGGTTATATGTACATAATCATTTTTAAAAATTCTTTGAATTTTATACCTATGTGTACCTTATGTATGTATTTGTATATATATATATATGTATTTATTCTTTGATAAATGTATATTATCCTATTAGTATATATTCTTCTATAAATACATATATGTATATATTTATTCTACTACAAAACTAGACTTCTTTGGGATCTAGAAGGCTCACACATAAGAAGCTGAGTGGAAGCTGAATCATATTAAGTATCCTCACAAATATCATTCAAGGAAGAGATCTAAGAGGTTGATGGGAGGAGGACAGGAATTATACAAAGGGAAATGGAAAGTCAAAGAGAAAGATTTTGGGTTTATCATTGAGACCAGTGCTCTATTCTAATTTCTTAGGATGACCTGGGTTTCTCCAGGCCCAGCAACACCAAGCCAAGGGTGTACTCTGGTTGCCACCATTGACATATGCAAATAGGCTAAAAGTTTTCCCCCAACTACTCAAATGTGTTAACAAAGCTGACTTGTGAGCAGTGATTTATTTTTATCAACATTTGTAGCTTGATAGTGCGGATGAGCTGATGATGACAGCATGGTGATAAGCCAAGTTATATACTAGGCTTGGATCTGAGCTAGGGAAGAGGAGGCACCTGCAGAAGGTCCCTCTTGGAGATGATTGCTGCCTCTTTCTCTCCTGTGTTGTACTGTCTTTACTCGATGTCAGATATCCTTCCTTAGCTGCTGGACCACGAGACACTGGCTACTATTTTTCCCTCCATCTCCAAGACTTTTGATTTCTCCCACCGCACTTTCTATATTAAAGAATAGCATGTACATGACAGAAGTTTTCAGTGGTCAAAGCTGAAGTGCCAACATTTTGAGACCAGGACTTCCATGCCCTCTGTAAAGGCCCTGCATTGACCCACAGATGCTACAGGGTGCCTCTGGCCCACAGCTGACTCAGGTGTCACTTGTACTTTTATTTACACTATCTTTTTGATGGGACAATTAACACTGACTATCTCAGCAGTTTAATTTAAAAAGTGTATCTCTAAAAGGAGCTTTCATCACATTTTTCAGAATCCTAATGCTAAACCAAGAAAAGATAGATTTCCTTCTTTTTGAGCCCTGGTCTTAGGTTACTTTCATGAAAATCAAAATAAAGTATGCCATTGGTGGCTTTGTGATTCTGCTGAATTTTAAAAGAGCAACAATCAGTTTCATTAGTTACTTTGAGAATGATTAATCCAATATTCTTTATGGAGAGCTCATGATTACCAATAGTAAGAAAATAATTAGACAATTCTTTTCTTATATAAAGTCATACCCTCAAATGCATCTGACTTGGGGAAAATATCACATAGATGTTGTATTGTATCTTCAATATTCTCATAAAGAGCTCTTATTATTTACCTATCAGCCTAAACTCACAATCCCACCAATGAATTCCTATATGACCCATAATATCTTTTGAATTTCTCTTCTATGCATGGCTGGGAGAGGGGATTGTAAAGAAACATGCTTATTATTTTAATAAATTTAATTCAGTGTATACGAGGTTTATTGATCTGTCATTCAGATATTTTAAAAACTATTGTTGGAAACAGAATCCTTTACTAGAACCTGGACCAAAACCATAAAGGGATAACAGGATGTCAAGAGCATTTGCTTAGGCAACAGGATGCTTGAATCTAGTCCTGATTCTTCTCATTGGTGATGAGATTCTTGGGCCAATCCCTTCATGCAATTGGACTTCAGCATCTCCATTTGAAAAATGGAAAATTCTGCTTACATTATCTCATAGTTTTTGACAATCTCATGAAATATGGGAATGTTTTTCCCATTACTTCCTAGGGAAAGAGGGGTTATCGCTAAGAGGAAAAGGGAACAATAAGAAATCCTCATCTGAATTGTTCTGGTCTATTTCTCATTGGGGTCATTCATCATTTTAAAGTTTGAATTTTAATTCTAAACAATATAGTCTCCCAGAGGAAAGGAAAATTCTCCTTTAATTTTGCTTCTTAGGCAGCAGAGACTTGATCACACAATAGTGATGGGAATTTTGGAATTCATATTCTTAGAGTCACATCCTTCACTTGACAACCCAAACACCCATTAACAAGGCCCCTCGGCCTGCATGATTGAAATGATAGGCAATGGGGCTTATGTGATGTAATTCCTCAATGATGTCATTTGGAACTTTCAGGGCCATGAATTCCCTATTTTCTAGGGTGCCATGCGCTATAGTGATATAACATTTACTTTAATGGCCCAAGAAATGCCCTGAGCTTTACAGCAGCATATTAACACTGCCTTCCTGCCTGAAACAGTATAAGGCAATGTGAACCACATTTGTTGTTTATGATTACTTTGTGATCCAATTTGCAGGACTGGAGCAATTATTGGGTATGTACATAACACAAATCTTAATGGGAGATTTTTATTTTTTTAGATCTATGTATCTGCTTGGTCACTAAAAGAGGAATGAAGGAGGAAACATTATCAGACTTTCTCTGATGTAATTCTTATTTTGGCTAACAGGGGAAAGTGACAGAGGGATTCATGAACATAAAAGTGAAAGAAGAAAGAGATTCTATTATATACTGGTCTCAGGACTGAAAGTTCATTGAAGAGACAGATTTGCTTTGGTTGTTGATCATTTTATTCATTGTACACTACATTTGACCTTCCAAAAACTTAGACTAACTAAAGTTCATCCGAGAACAACCTCTGATAGAGAGCTACCTTCAGACATAAAGCTCTTAGTAGCCTCCAATGCTCCTGAAAAGCAGAACAATCAGATAAAAGTATGATGGGTCCCTGGATCTTCTCATTGAGGATATTCATTAGAATTTTGCCTAGTATGGCAGCTACCTTTGCATAGTAGAAAATAAATATATATTTGCTTTGAGCCTGAAATCTAAGGGGTTGTTCCAATAGCATATCTGTGTTAGTTAGCTCAGTTGCCATAACAAGATAACATAGCCTGTGTGGCTCCTGCTGGAAATTCAGCTGGTGGCAGATGGCCATGTTCTCACTGTGTCCTCACACAGTAGAGAGCTCTGAGGTCTCTTCTTCTTATAGCAGCATGAATTCCATCAGCAGGACCCTACTCCTACTTGAAGACAATCATCTGAACCTAACACTCTGAAGGCCACATCTCTAGATACCATCACCTGGGAGGTGACAGCTTTCTGGGGAAGGGTCCAATTCAGTCCATAGGACTAACTTAGTCTATCCTGATTAATTCATTAATGATTTAGGGATTTCTTAGCACTTTCAAACCCCTTTACTAGGGTTTAGAAAAATATTGAAGTGATCTTTAGCTCTGCAAATATTACTCTGTGTTCATTGCTATGCTGTAAATCAGCGGTCTCCAACCATTCTGGCACCAGACACCAGTTTTGTGGGACTGAGTGGGGGCGGAATGTTTGGGCAATGGTTTAAATGAGCACAACCTAGATCTCTCACATGTGCAGTTCACGGTAGGGTTTAAGTTCCTATGAGAATCTAATGCCATGCTGATCTGAGCGGAGGCAGAGCTCCAGTGGTAATGTGAATGATGGGAGTGGCTGTAAATACAGATAAAGCTTCACTCCTCACCTGCCAGCTGCTCACCTCCTGCTGAGGGACCTGGTTCCTAAAAGGCCACAGATCAGTGCTGGTCTGTGAATCGATAGAGGTGGGGGCCACTGCTGTAGATGACCTCAATGAGGCTGCTAGCATTATTCCTAGAGAAACATGTCATTAACTATTTTCTAAGTGCCTAATGTTGCTACCTTGTCCCACTCTGAAAGTTTCCATCCTACTCTGTCATATTTCATCTGCACTCTACTCTCCAGGGAGGAAGTCTAGGACATGTGTGACTAACCACTTCACACCATGTTTGCCTCCTCTCTAAAGTTAACCGGGATGGAAAAGATAGATTTTCCACTTTCTCTTCCTGCCACTCTTCTTTTTTTTTTTTGAGGAGCTTTTATTTTCCTCCCTTGCCATGGGCCATAAAGGTGGGCACAGGGAGAAAGAATGGCTTATTGATAAAGGGAAAAAGAAATGTGATTCATGTTTCTATTATGTGTTTATATGTGTAATTATTTGATCAACGCTATATTTCCCACTAGGTGATAAGGTGCAGATAGAGAGGGAGAGGGTTTATTTTTCTAACACTGCATCCCTGTTACTAACCATTGCCCAGGGTAGCAGAAGAGAGCTACACTTGCCCTTCGGAACAGAGTAGGGCTATACAGGTGGAGATTTTGACTTTCATACTTCACCTCTTCTTCACTGCATCCTCCAGACTTCTTCAAAGCTTGGCTTGAATGCTACTTCCTCCATGTTCCTCTCAGCTCAGATGAATACATATAACAGTGAGCCTATTCCCCTTGACTTGTTTCTGTGACTAGTTCCCTCACTGGTTATGATGGACAGACCCCTGTATTATTTCCCTTACCTCCTTACCACTTCGAGTGGTGCCTAGCTCATTGACTCTGTGTAATAGTTATTTGATAAACATTTGCTGTACTAAAAAGAGATACCTTCATTCTCATTTTTCTGGCTTCTTGGAACTTGTAGAATTCTGTACTGTGCAGGAATTTTTACTGTATCTATCAACAGGATCTTTGATCTGTTTGCCAACCTCTCATCTGAGGATGTCTGACATGGTTGTAGCATAGAAAGGCCTTGGCAAATATTCTGTGTTGATAAATGGATAATAAGGCCCACAGAGAGCAAGGAGTTTGCCTGAAGTCTACAGTAGAAATGGAGGTTGAACTTCTTGTGTATAGTTTATCTCTTAACCCACGCATCTTCTTTTATTAGCAGTCTTTAGTCCAGCAAGCATTTATTTAGCTCAGCTACATGGAGAATGATACTAATAAAATTGTGGAATTGGTTCTGTAAGAATGCACAACCTGGCTCTGCTCATAGCCAGAGGCTGGGCTGTCAGCCCCAGCTACTACCCTGGAAGTGCAGGACCGGCCACATTTTAAGGTATTCAGGGACAAAGGGCCCTCTACAAGTGCCTGCACCACAGAAGATTGGGCAGCAGCATTGCTTTTGTAAATGAAGCAATCTTTTTAAAAATACCAAATGCATTGCAGTCTCAAAAAAAGCATTAGTTGAAAATCTGCTCCATAGCCTACCTTTCCACTGTAGAATGACTGAATCTCTACAGCACAAAGTTTGGTCCTCATGTGTTTGTATTAAAACAGCCTCTAATTAGCTTGCATGAAAATCCTCCAATCTGTCCTCCATATTGCCTCCAGCACTGTTGCTGAAAACAAACAGGTAAGTTGGGAGTGGTGGTGCACACTTGTAAACCCAGTCCGCTGGGTGGCTGAGGCAAGGAGACCAGACTAGGCAATTTAGGGTTTTAGCAAGACTCTTCCTCAAATAAAAAAAGTTTTAAGAAGAGGGCTGGGAAAGTAGCTCATTGAGAAACCCCTGAGTTCATTCCTCAGTAAAAAAAAGAAAAGAAAGAAAATGAAAGAAATCCAACAAACAAGCAAAAGACTTCATCTATATAATTATAAAAGTAACTCTATTTGTCGTGAAAAGGAAGTACCCCATGGTCAGAAGAAATGCCAAGGCAACCAAAGTTTGCCTCTCCTCTCATGCTATAGCCCCTCCTCATGACTTCCTTTCAAATGGGGACGTTCCAGTGAGAGGAAGCTCCCTGCTCCTGGAGAAGCCCGGCTCTGAGCTGAGCTCACCACTGCTGCTGTTGTGGCAGAGCACAAGACAGAGTGCTTGAAACTGAAATGGTGAGTTTTAAATTGGCTTGGAAAAGTTACAGCTGTGCTCCATTCTTCACTTTGAGGAACGAGTTGTACTCCAGCTCATGGAAGATGGAGGCTCAAGCTGCATAACATGGGCTTTGGAGAAAGCAGCCCCTAGCACTGGTCCATTGCTTACCAGTTCCTCTCTTCCTAGTTATCAATCTCTGCTCTACTTTGAAAGGAAAACTGTGTTTTTCTCCTCTCCTCCCCTTGCTCTCCTCCCTCTTCACCCTTCTGCCTCTCTTTTGGTGCTAGGACAGCAGGCCTGATGACGGTACTTCAGTTATCTTTCTGCTTCCAGGCTACCAGAATTTAGACCCAGACCAAACTGCAGTCCACAGTATCTTTGACAAAACTCTACAGGGCTTTAGAAAGCATAAAGGGCTCTTTGTACACAGAAGCTTAGTTAAAATTAAATAGCAAATGTAAACATGGCTTCACAATCGGGCTAGAAGGTCTCAACAATGTGACTTGTATCGACAAAAATGTCTCAGCTGTGACCAGAAAACAATTGCCTATACATAAAGCCTTTGGAAAAATTATTAAAAATATTTATCTGTGAGTATTTATGGCCTTATAAATTTTTAAATGATAATGGAAATTATTTTTTTCCTAGTAGCTTAGGGATAATTGATGACTGCTGCCATTTTTTGCTTATCGACAGACACATTCACTCTGACCATTTATACAGAAGTCTAAAAGTAGCGCAGTTGATATTCTAGGTGTCATCTTGATGTTTGCCCACAGAATGTGGGATTTGCTCTGCATGGCAAACCACTGAGCTCTACAATTCTCCAGCCAGGGATCTTTAGTAAAAGGATCTAACATGTTCCCTGCACGGTAGGCATCCAGTAATACACGATAGGGGAAGAAATGAGTGATGCTCAACTGCCTGAAGTTGCGTAGCCCCTTTCCTCCTCCACACAGCCATACTCAAGGTCACAGGCAGCATAGGGTACAGTGTTTCTGTGTCCTATTGTGCAAAATGTGCTTCTAGTTTTCTTCTTGCCTCTTATTCTTTATATAATATTTCTTTCCAAGTGCTTCACTTTGTTCAGACAAATCCTATGAAGAACTATCCTGTCTAGGAAGACTCTGGTTTGTTTTTTAATCCAGTGCTTACCAATGGTGAATGAACTAGGAGGATGTTCACTTCTCTAAGCCTGCTGTTCTGTTACCCATGTGCCTAAAGCCCTGGGACCACCTCCTGCAGACAGAGGCAAGAAGCCCTGGCATCTACTCTTTGACCGTAATCTGACCTTAACATATATGACATCGCGTATCATTCATAGAACTTCAGAAATGGTGACAGGGCTATCTTGGATTTTCCAGAGGGCAATTATTAAACCTCCCTTACCCTTCATTTACTTTCTCCAAGTCTTGGTTTTTCTCTTTGTGTTGCTCAATAGCTATATCCAGAGACAGAGGACTCAGTTACTTTCTTGAAGCTCTGGTTAAAACTTTGGTAGTAGGAAGTGATTGTTATAAAGGAAGTCTGGGTGATCATCATTGCAAATGATTCTTTATCCTGCCTCAATAATAGATACCACCTACTATGTACTTGATTTATCTAATTCTTTTTTTTTATTTGTCGCAACAAACCTTTAAATGCCCTCTGTTTTACAGATAGGGAAACCAATGCACAGAGAACTTAACTTGTCAATGTTCATGTAGCTAATAGTTATTTTTGTTTGTTTGTTTGTTTGCAGTACTGGGGATTGAACTCAGAACCTTGTCCTTGCCAAGCAGGTGCTGTGCAGCTGAGCTACACCCCAGGCCTCTTATGTAGCTAGTAGTGAACCCAGGTAGGCTATCACAGAGTCTTCACTCTTAACATATATGCTATGAGGCCTTGTTTAGAGATGATGGAAAGTCTGGCTATATCTTATATTTGTATCTATTATGGTTTGGATAAAAAATGTCCCCCAAAAGGCTCATATGTTGAGAGGTGGTGCTTTCAGAAGGTGATTGAAGCATGGGGGAACTATACTTCTCAGGAGATTCATCCACCCATGTTCACAGTGGAATGTGCTGCTGGGGTAGGGCCTGGTTGGAGGAGGTGGGTCACCGTGGTGATGTCTATGTCGTCTCTGCTCTTCCTCCTCTCCCTGCTCCTCTCTCTGCTTCCTGGCTGCCATGGGTTGAGCATCTTTCCTCCCTCATGTCCTTTCTGCCTTGGAGCTACCAGACCATGGACTGAAACCTCACAATTTAAAAAACTGTGAACCAAGTAAGCCTCTTCTTAAGTTGCAGGTGTCACATATTTTGTCCTAGTAAATGGAAAAGTTGACTGCTATAATACCTACCTCTAAAATCAGATCCATTCATAAATTTTCTTTGTAAAGACCCTCATTCTTCTCAGCTGCAGTGAGAGCTCTATAAAAGCATTTGAGAAAAGCATCCACATAAAGTGACCGTTGGGTGTGAAGTTCTTCCTTTGGTTAGCTGCTCTGACAGAGTGGTCAGCAAAACTCCAGAAGCAGCCCCAGACAGAGAGGTGCATGACTGGGCATCTCAGTTCTCTGCTTCTGAGTTTATCTCCGGGGGAGAAAGAAAGTAGATTTAGATCTGTTCAACCTACAGCTTGTTTTCTTTTTCTACTATCTGCTTGGCAGTGAGCTCCTTCTTTTCCACCGTGTTCCTCCCTTGATTAGAAGTAGGTCAGCCTGACAGTGAGAAAGGACTTTCCTTCTCCTCCAGGCCAGGATGGTTCTCATTCTGTTTGCAGTGTTTCTCTCTGCACCTCAGGGCCACCAGATCCTCATTACATTCCCACTCACAGGAGCTCATCCACCGGGCTGCTCTTGCCTCTCCACTCTTAGGACCTCAGGATGCACAGCCAAGCACCCTGGTGCCAAAGCTTCCCAGTGTTAGGAACAGACAAGAAGTGGATAAAATGATAGGTCACGTGGATGCCAAGTTACATTCTAACTGTGCTCCCTTGTGAATTTTGAATGGAACAGCAGTGAGGATCTTTTATTTGGATAACATGATCATAGGGCCATCACCTCAGGATCCAACAAAACTGCGTTATGTCCAAGCGCAGAACTGGGCTTGTAATTCTTATGCCACTCCGGTTTAAGGCATTCAAAAGAAAATAAACAAAAAGCCAGAATGCTGGGCTGGGGACTTAGCTGAGTGGTAAAGTACTTGTGTAACTTGTACAAAGTCCGGGGTTCAATCTCCAGCACCACACACCTAAAAAGATCAAGCAAACTAACAAAGAAAAACCACCTTTATCCCCATTTGGAACTACAGTAAAATGATGTTTTTACAGCCAGAATACTTCTTTGTTCCAGGCATTTCTACATGCATCCTCGTAATACTCAAAGAAGGTAAGGTATTACTGTCACTGTATTACAGATGAAAAAATAAAGGTTATCAAATTTAAGTAGCTATTCGGGGCCTTGTTAGTTGATAACAGGAAAAAGTCGAACCTGGGATTTTGACTTAATAACAATCTCTTGAAACTCACAAATAATTGTTCACCAAATTTTGCAACTGTGTTTACTTAAAATGGTCCCCAATTAGATAGCATTTAAAATATAATTATTTTTCAGGAAGAGTAGATTAATCAAATATAATCACTAGATAATCTACCTGACTAATTTTGTCGTCTCAATTTCAAACAAGCTTCTGTGGGACTCTCCTTGCTCATCCTAGTGACTCTGATTACGCAGGGTGTCCCTGGGCTGCCCAGGTTCTGTCTGTGTTTTCTGGGCTCCTGATCTGGAGGATCCTCTACACCACCTCCCCTGCCCTACTCTGTGTACTGGGCCTTAAGCCTAATGGTCTTTGGAGGTAATTCTAGCTAGCTTTCTGTGGGGTCCATGACCTTGCTCATGTGGAGATTCTTCCTGGCCCAGTGCCACACCTTTTTCTCCATCTAGTGCCTGATTTTCTCCTACCGTGGCTAATGAGTTAACCATCTAAGTAGCCTCTCTGCTTCTAATTTCCATCCTCAGACACTATCGCTTTTGCTCAAAAACTCTCCCCCTACCCCGTGCCCTTAGGCTCCACATATGGAATACTCTAAGTTCCTTGCAGCATATTTCAAACTCTCAGAATTTTGACTCTAATATAACTTTCTAGACATACTGTCTTCTACTTCTCTTCAAGATACTCGTTCTAACCAAATTGGACCCTGTTGTTCTGAAGACGATTCATAATGTCCTTCTCTAAGTCCCTTGCCTTAATTTTGGGCCTATAATGATCTTGTGCACCTCTTCATTTGATGACATCTCTATCTTCTTAGTTCAGCTCAGATTCTGCCTCCTCTGTGAGACTCTACCAATCCATATGCTCTTCATTGTCTCTATTTCCGTAGCATTTGGGTTTATTTTCACCATCACAGTATTGAGCAGCTTCTGCTCTGACATACAGTTACTTACAAATTGTGAGTCTCTGTTCTGTAGCTCCTCCAAGAAGGATCATTTCTTTTCCTACTTGTGGCACCTGTACAGCTTAGCACCGCACCTTCCTAATAATAGGCAGTCAGTAATTGCTTTCAGACTTAAATATGTTCTGATAAAGTTAGTTTCTGATTATGTGAGAAAGATGATGATATCATTAAAACTGGCAGTCTAAGAAGAGCTAAAATTATTTTTAGATTTTCTTGTGGCCCTGACAGAATTGTATGTTTGATCAGATGCTTTCTTTAATGTCATTCCTTCTGATGCACCAAACATCGTCATGCAGAGAAATGCAAAGCGATCTGCTCCTTCTTCTAGTTGTCACCCTTGGCCTATCTACTCGATGTGTATTTCAGCAGTCTTTACATAAAAGCAAAATAACCTGACCTAAATAACCTGAATGAAGGCCATTTTATTCATTTGCTATGATCTTCTTGGGTTGTGGAAACTAGGAGTTGTGCTCTCATGTTGACAGTGTTCTCTGAACTGTCACTGAGATAAAATTTGGGTCACAAAATTGATTATTGGAGGCCCTCAATATTCATCCTTTTCCCTCCTCCAACTTTTCTCCTTTCTATTTCCTACTTCTAATTTTAAGGAGGCTTATTTGAATAATATATATATATATATAATTTAGTAGCATATTAATATATTTCAAGCAGCATTGATAGTATATATCATACAATATACAGATACATTATATATCACCATATATATATATATATATATATTGCAAGGAATGCAAATTTTGGAAGCTAATAATAACATTTTAAATGGGTAGTGATCTTAAAGTGAGTGTGTAAGCACTATGAAAATAATTTGTAAAGTTCACTATGGTCCTGTTGGCCAAATTATGCCAGACATAGGCCCAGAAGAGAGCATCCTCCAATACCATTAACAAGCTGTGTCATGTAACTCACCAGGAAGCCCCTGTCTGGTCCTGTCTTATGAGTGCAGAGGTACCATGGAGAATGTGAACTCTGTTTTGAGAACAAAAATAAAAATAATAAAGCTGTGGAAAGTATGAAGAAGTCATCAAAGTAGAATTCAATACATGAGAGGGCTCACACTGTAACACCTCCAACAGGCCCCCTTCTCCATCCCAGGAGCCAGGTGTGTCTCTTACGCATCAGACGCCCCATTGCTTGTGAACAGGAGTCCTCCTGGACTGCATGCTGACTTCTTCTCCATAGAGACCACACAGGAAGCCCTCTCCCTCACTCTGACTGTGGTTGTGAATTGGATGCTTGTGACTATGTCTGTGTCACTGTGAGTTCTTTTGTGTTATGGTCCCTGCTTAGAATCTGGTGGAAAAGAATTTGTCCTCTATCAGAAACGTATACACATGGCCCCAAAACTGCATGACCTTGTGGAGGTTCTTTGACTCCATGAATCCAGTCCGTGGCTTCTAAGTTCATTATACTCCCACTAGACAGAGATTGTATCTCATTCAAATTTCTATTATCAATGTACTTGGCATATAATAATGCTTGGTACTGCTTGATGAACTAAATAATTTAAAAATTGGGCAATATGTGGGAAAAATAAAAGAACAATTACTCTATTAATAGAAGAATGTCCATAACATTCAGCTCTTATGGCTATTGGTCTCCAGCCCCATTGAATACATATACAAGAAAAAAGCTAGGACAAGTTAGGAATCAGACAGAATTGAGATAGAGGTAAAGAAGGCCTTCCCAGGGGGAAGGTTGGTGCTTCCACACTAAAGTGAGTTATAACAAACAAACAAAAATGAGTGAAAGTGACCTTCCCCGGGCTGCTTTTAGACTTGTGCTATTCTCTGCGGTGGAATGAGCAGGATGGTGGAGATGGAGGAACCAGGCTACTGAAGGGTCTTTCAGCTAGGAGATTCCAAAGGGTGCTGAGTCCGTCATACACAGGGGTTTTATGGGGCCAATCATCACGATGAGCTCTGTTCTTAAGGATTTAGAGTTTCAATCTGATCCCAAACACAAGGTTCAACAGGAACCCCAATCATGCATTGAACATGACCAGAGCAACCACAAATCTACATGGAGGAGGAGAAACTGAATGGATCTAGAGAGAAATTCGAATGACAAAGGAGGTGGCAGTTTGGTTCCAAGTAACCAGGAAAACAAGATAAGAGGGAATAACAGGATGAAAGGGGCATCATTGTAGGCAGGATTTGGTAAATTTCCTAGCCACATACTCTCCAGCCTGGAGTTTATCCCCAGGGCTAGGAAAGAGCAGAAATCATTCCAAAGACCCAAGGGGATTTTTGCCAACCTTATTCCAGGGTCTCTTAAACCCTCATAGTTGTCCAAATTGATGTCTTTGTTCTTGGTATTGCTAAAGTGTTTAGAGTATGCCAGATCCCATCATCTCTCAAAGACGGGTGGACAAAGCCAGTC